CCCCCTCCCGCCCTCCTCCTCCTCCTACCTTCCGCTATCCTTGAAACGAGTCGTGTCCGTCTGGCCGCTCTGACCGCAACAACATCAGGCCGCCTCATCTGGTCTCACGTCACTCCTCCGGGCGGGGGCGGGGGAACTGTTTTTGACTTCCACTGACACAGATGTTGTTGTGAATTTAAGCTTTGATGAGGCGGCTACAAGATGTTCGAAACCTCCGAACAAGGCGAACAAAAAAGAAAACAAAACGGCGTGTTTTCAGTTTGGAGTGCGGCTGGAACAAAGCTCGTAGACTGAAGAATGAAGGCTCACTTTCTGTAATGCTCTTGCGGGTGGGAAAGGAGAGTTGCCGTCTCCAATGCACTTTTCAGCTGTTTATTGGACAAACAATAAAACAGCACCACAATGAGCACACTCTGCACACAGTTAGCTGCTGTCCGTCACAGACACCCACACACAGACTCGCTTTTGTCACACGCTACGCCCTCCAGGCCCCGCCTCTTAAAGCCTCATATCCAATACAAAGACACATTAGTACACTATTTGATATACATTTTATAGTTGTATGTGTCCAAATACATTGAGAGTTTTTTTTTTAACCCTTTCAGCAACAGCGGTTACTCCAGTGGACAGTTTATCAGGTTACAGGGTGCATGAAAAGGGTTAAAGGGTTTATAGTTTAACTGTCAAGTGGGAGGGATAAAACTATCAAATAAAACATTTTCTACAGTCTGCGTATTTTAATCGAAATATTTTTTTAACACCTCAAGCATGACATCACTGACCTAATACAATCGACATCCATGCGGTATTCCCCCCCACCTGCTTTGAATCAAAACTGTTGTTTCAGGTTGTCCGGTCAGGGATTTCCAAGTGACACCTGTTTTACTCGACTAGAGCGCCCCAGCACTCACATTAGGAATAGTTTTACGACGCCGTAAAACGATAACGCGGCCACGGCGTGACACGTGCATTCGGTGGCCGCAGATGGAAAGCATTGAAGACCATTATTGTGTTCCTCGGAGGGAGGGGGCGGGTTGGAGGTTGTCTTCCACTGTGAACTCTTTGGCACACTTTTCAAAGAGAAGGGTCGCCTGTCTCGCTGGCTTTTTGGCAGCCCAGCCCCCCACCCCTGTCAACATCCACCCGACACACTACTTCTTTTCTCAGAAGTTGTGTAAGGGAGGGTCAGCGTGCAAGCCGTTCTGTTCCCTGGAACTTCTTCCTTGTTTATCAAAAAAAAAATTTTTTTTAAAGAGGCTCTGACGGACCCCCGACAGGCAACTTTAGAGGCCAACATGAAACAGGACTCGAGTTTCACACTTCCTGTTTATCTCGGCAGAACTTGGCCGAGGACACCTCAACAAACAAACCGAAGCGAAGAACACGCAGCGGTGGGGGGGGATGCAAGAAGTCTGTTTGCCCGTTGCCCGAACAACATTGCTGCACATGTGTCGCCTGCTATAATTAGCCTTGAATGCGGAAGCAATAATCCCAATGTCTGGATATTCTGTCGGACACAGAGCTAATTGTTCATGTCGACTGCGGGTTTTTTCGTGCATGGCTCATTGTTGTGTATTTGGGAGTGGAGGCAGAGTCGGGGAAGCTGGATGGGTGGGGTCTGTCTGGACGCTCAGACTTGCCGGCAACACCGAAACACAAACTGGAATACCACGACCCCTGTCTAAACAGGCTGAATTCTTTTTTTTTTTTTTTTTAAATTGTGGAAGCCAGCGCTCATACTCAAAATTGTCCAAATAGTTCATCAGATACAGAATCAAAAATTCAAGGAGGAATGGTCAAAGATCCTTTTTTTCTGTCTTTTTCCATCTTGAGAAACATTCAAGGAGGAAATTAGGTGTTGATTTGTTGGCAAAGGGTGCTAATAATTCTCCTCAAACTTTCCACGGTACACTGCCGAATGAGTTTTAATGGGGGGAGGGGTGTTGGGGACCCCTCACATACAGACATTGTCGCCAATATTTTCACACAAGAAGACATCCATCATTTACTTTTAGGAGCGCTAATGGGACACTTAAAGCTGTCACTCAGCTGGATGTGCTTGGCTGGCCTCCTGTGGAGGCCGCGGGGGGGGGGGGGGCTCTGCTTCAGGCTCATAATTAAGGCCCAAAAGCTCATCAAGTGTGTGAGAAAAGACCCCATCCCCCCTCCCTACCCCCACCCATTAGCAGCAAAACAATTAACATAACTCTGTGTACACAAGTTTCAGGAGCGGAGCACCTGTGTTGACTTTGGCGGAACCCGTTGCCGCTGCTGCTTCTGCATTCGGGGCCGAGCGGGAATGAAAGAAAAGTCGCCAAGAGTGCCGGATTTGTAAATATGCAACAGGAGGAAGAGTGTGTGGTGTGTGTGGGTGTGTGTGTGTGTGTGTGTGTGTGTGTGTGTGTGTGTGTGTGTGTGTGTGTGTGTGTGTGTGTGTGTGTGCTTGTCTGCAGAGAAAAGTTTGTCATGCATTCCCATCACTGACCGGGAACATTCAATGAACTCCGACAGGTAAAAACACCTTAAAAGTTACGTGGGTGCACTTGGCATTCATTGCAGTTTGTCTCCAATTGAATTTTATGCCACAAGTTTTAAGATCTTATGATCTTGTCAATCATTGTAGGTGGAAAACAAAGTGTGAGATCAACAAACACTCCCGTTCCCCTTTATATCCTCAGGTAGTTGACTGTCAGTGTCAATTGTTTCAGTGGAAATAAGTTGAGTCACACGCTATTGCAACACGGCTGATGTCACTGTTCACAAGTGACGAAAGTTTGCACTTACCAGCACAACTCCGTGAAATTAAATCCGGAAAACTGAAGAATTTCAAGAAGCCAGCACAAGCCAGCAATCATACAGTACAGTGGTACCTCTACTTACGAAATTAATTGGTTCTGGAAGAAATGTCTTAACTAGAACATTTTGTAAGTAGAGACGCGTTTTCCATGTAAATGCCCTAATGCGTTCCAAGCCCACCCAAAATTCAGACATAAATGTTTCCTAAAGCATAAAAATGCATCAAAATATGTAACAAATACATGTTACAGTTAGATCATTGCACAATAAATGAGAGCTGTGCATAATGTAAAAAAACAAAAACAATGAATAAAGATTAAAAACGATGGTCATTTAACTTTTAACTGCGTCCGCATCGGGTTTTTTTGGGGGGCGGGGGGGTTGCCCTCTTTAGTTCTCTCTCAGAACTGTTTTTTGCCTGGTGTCTTGTCAAGAACTGATCCGAGGACGTTTGCTTTTGTCGTCTTTTACCAACCCGACAAAACATCAGCATAGTGAGCGACTGTCCAAACGGTGAACACTTTTTCTGGGAATTCACAACTACGTAAAACTATCGAAACGCCTCATGGCCCGAGGCGAGGACGGAGAATGACGAGGATGCTGCGATGACACAGATCTATCTAACTACACGCAAAGATACATACGGTAGAAATCCCTCTTAGCCAATGGGAGGCCAGGATGATGCTCGTTAATAGCCAATGGCAGAGCAGCTATGAGTATGTTGCGTTCAGGAAACTCGGAGCTGCGACAACCAGGCCAGACTGTATTTTTAAGATAAGATAAGAAAACTTGATTAGTCTCACAATAGAGAAATTCCCAATTCACAGCAGCAAAGTTATGAAAGGAAGAAGTAGAACAAAATGTAGGAGCTGCTGTAAAGCCACTTTGAAGTCAAAATTACAAAATAATACAACAACAACAACAACAATAATAATACAACACAACACAAGACACATACAGTCATTCAATCTTCACCACTTTTCTGCATCCTCTTTGTTGTATGAAACAGTTATAGATGAAAGAGGAGAGGATCAAAGCTACCTTTTGTATCTTGAAGTGTCTTTCATAACAAAAGGATATATTTTCCTGTTGGGGCGTTTCTTAACTTGAAATGTTCGTATGAAGAGACGTTCGTCAGGAGTTCTCCACTGTAGTTGTAATTTTCCTCAAGTTGCTATCGTGTATTACAAAAGTTGTATTTTGTATTTATTTATTTTTTGTACACTAGTCATACTTTTACCCCAAAGCTCTTGATATGTCACCATCTACTTTTCAAGGAGCCAACCTCCTGCAATCGACCCATTACCGCACGTGCGCGCATACACACATATGTGCACAAATGCACGTACGCATGTAAAAACACACCCCCCCCCACACACACACACACACACACACACACACACTCCACTCCTTCAACCAATGATGTCAACCCATCTGTTGGCCCCCGCAAGGTGCTGCGCGTAATACAGTCACGCAGCGGGAGGAAGAGGCGGAGGCAGGAAGCGGCGTTGGCCGCCTCCTCTGCTCTGTGTCACGGCCTGCGTCACAGCCACACGCCGGGAGGGACTTTTCCACTGACGAGACCGACCGAGAGACAGAGCGAGAGAGCGAGAGAGCGAGAGAGAGAGAAAGAGAGAGAGAGAGAGAGAGAGAGCGAGAGAGAGAGAGAGAGAGAGAGCGAGAGAGAGAGAGAGAGAGAGAGCGAGAGAGAGAGAGAGAGAGAGAGCGAGAGAGAGAGAGAGAGAGAGAGAGAGAGAAAAGCCCGAGCTAGTCGCCGCCGTGCTCCAGACAAGAGGACGCGCTCGAGCCGCATGGAGGCAGACAATAGCCCCGCGTGAGAGCTCGGCGTCCGCGGGGAGGCAGTCATCCACGATTTCTGCTTTCTCACGCACTCATTCGGATTAATCCCATCATTCGCCACTCATGCTGATCGGACAGTCGGACACTTGCTGGTGAGTAAGTGCCGCTCCATTGTGCGCTATAAAACGTGCGTGCCTTGAGGTGAGCTAGTATATGACGCATTGGTTTGATTTTATTTATCTTTTATTTGAATTGTTTTTTTTTTTTCTAAAAGTACAGAAAAGACACGCGGTGAGTTTTTTTTTTTTTTGCGTCACAGGTGAACCCGATTCGGACACCAATCAGTCATTGAGATTGCACAGGGTAATAATCATCCCCTTCGTAATGAGGCGTCCTGTTAGTTCGGCGTTCTTTGTGCCCACGCGCAAGGCACTAAAGCTAACAGCGCCGCTGTCACCTGCACACGACCCGCGGCCCCGCGCGATTCCTGCCATTTAAAAAGAAAAATGCCTTTTAAAACACCCCGCTTTGCTTCGCTCCTTTTCATTGTCCCCCCAATCCACCTTCCACTAATTCATTTTTATTTGTGCGTTTATACTCTTGAACCCGTTCGGTTTTATTTAACCTAAAACCCCCGCCTGTTTTTTCTTTCTTTTTTGTGCATTCTGTTTTAGTTTGTAGCCTCATTGTATGTGGGAAGCACTTTTCAAAAGCGTCTCTAGCGCGACCTCACCCGGATCATTTTTGGAAATCATGCTTTCCTGAATGACACACATGCACACACACACACACACACACATACAAACGGGAGGAGAATGATCCTTTGTTTACTGACACAGCTTCCATTCCTTGTGCTTTTACTCCCACACACACACACACACACACACACACACACACACACACACACACACACACACACACACACACTCAAGCACCACTTTCTCCAAAATGCTTAGCAAGTTGCTTGTATGGTCCAATTTGGGGAAGTTAGTACACGAGGATTGCTGATGAGCTGTGGATGAGGTGTGTTCAAAGTGCGGTCCACACACCACTAGTGGGCCCTGAGTCACTTCGGGAGTTTTTACACAGTTGTAAATATAACTTGGGATTTTTTTTTCCTCCTCCGTTGGAGTCGATTGTTCGACTTGGTTGAGAAATTATCGATTTGGGGTGATTTCCCAGAGATGAGTCGACATGCCGTTGGTGTAGAATTGCTTTGGGTGTGTTGAATTTTTTTTCAAGGAAAACGGGGACTTGTTTGTCAGTCATTGGAATGGCTTGAATTGATGGTGTAGAATTGCTTTGGGTGTGTTGAATTTTTTTGAAGGAAAATGGGGACTTGTTTGTCAGTCATTGGAATTGGTTGATTGTCAATTTTGATGTGAATTCCTTTCTGATTTTTGCGGGCATGATTTGTGTCGGTTTGAGAAATTGTGACTTTGGTAAGTTTCCATTGAGAGTGGAAGTTTGTATTGGTTGAGAAATTGTGAATTAAAAAAAAAATCTCAATTAATTTGAGTTTTGTTGGGATTTGAGAAATGCGGAATTTGTTGCATTTGACCATTAATGTAAGACACATTTTCTGCAATTTGTCAATTTTTTTATTTCCAGAAATTTGAATGGTTTAAAACTGACTGAGAAATGGTGGATTTGAAGTTTTTTTTGTTCAATGCTGTCGATTTCGTCGAAAGCAGGTGTCAGCGTGCACGTAATTTTTTTATTTCCAGAAATTTGAATGGTTTAAAATTGACTGAGAAATGGTGGATTTGAAGGTTTTTTTTTTTTTTTGTTCAATGCTGTCTATTTCGTCGAAAGCAGGTGTCAGCGTGCACGAGGCTCAGCTCATCATATCTGACGTCATATCGGCCTCCTTTCAGCGGGGTACACGTATACCGATCGTGAATATCTTTATCGATTTTTGACATGCACCACAAATGTCTCTTAAATATTGAGCAGGTTTCGGGAAACCTCCTGAACACGCACCACAGCACAGGATAATCACTCCGGATAATATTTTCGAGACCTCCGAAAATCAGCTTTTTGTCTGACTTTGATGGAGAGGGAGTCGGAACGCGCACATTCTCGCTATGTGCGGACTTTGCTTTCTACTGCGAACTCGTTGATTGAGTCAATAGCGCCTTGCAGGTTGCACTCGTCCTCTATTTTGCTTCGAGACCTGTCATGACGAAAGGTCAATCCTTGACCGATGGCGTGCACGCAACCGATCTCGATCAGGACACGCTTCCGTGGAGTGTTTGCGGGAGCGGCGTTGGGTTCAAGCGAGGTTGCCTTGCTTCATTTCGCTCCCGCTGGATGCCACCCCCCCTCTCTCTTTTGTACTTTGGAAACAAGAGGGGAGGGGAGGGGAGGAGGAATCTCCGCACTCACCTATTCATTTGGGTTGGAATTGTTTGACAGATGGTGAATTTGTGACATGCGTCGATTCATGTGGGAATTTTCTTGTGGAAATTTTGCAAAAAGTTAGAATTTTTGAAATGATGTTTATGTTGGATGGGCCTCTATCAACAACAGTTATTGGGCCTTATTCAATGGTTTCGGGTTCTTGTGTAGGCTGCCGATACCAGCCACCGATACTTAATGCAAACATACAATGTGACTTTGAGTCCTCCTCGGTAGTAGTTGGCGCTATACTGCAATAAGTATTGGCGAATCTTCTGCATTACATTTTTTTGTCCTTGTGTTTCCAGAAATTTAACAAATCAAAAGTACTCGAGGTATCAGTATGCCATATGGGTAAATACACATACTGGTATCAGTCTGGGGGGAAAAAAAAGTGGACTCAAAAATCGCTAATTTTGAAGTTAGCACATTTGAATCGCATGCCATATGCAGGTTGTGAACGCACCGCGAGCGCCTCGTCGTCCTCCTCGCTGTCTTCCCATCCTCCGCGCACAACCCCAGTCCTGACACTTCAACTATCGCCCGACTCGCTCGGCTTTAAAAGCGGCATGGGAGCTCCACGTGCGGCTAATTCCCCAGTCAGGTGTGTCCCGCATGCGCCCCCGCCTGGTGTCGCGTCGGACTTTCCGAGCCCGGGAAGAAGAAGAAAAAAAAAAGCCCACATCTGTGTTTGATTGAGCTCCTTTACAGCTCGAGCGGCGCTGCTGCCAGAGAAGGAATTCCTGCGGCTTTGGAGACATGACATTATTTATTTGCTTTGCGCCGTGCTCCCTCCCTTTTCCCAGTACCTCTCCTTTCTGGAAAGCGCTGCCACGGGTCCAGGCAAGGGGAACAGAATGTTTCTCTGGCGGGCTCCGATGGGAGCGACACCAGAGCAAAAAACAGGAGCGCCGGACGAGAATTTCCGCGCTATGAAATGATGACAGTCCCACTTTCATTGAATTTGTGGGCGGAGTTAATGCGAGTAATTAATGCCCTCCATCAGAATGTTCATAATTGCATATACTAAGAATTTAATCGGACGACCCGGTGGATGAATGGTTAGCGTGTCGACATCACAGTGCAGAGGTATCGGGTTCGATTCCAGGTCCGGCCTCCCTGTGTGGAGTTTGCATGTTCTCCCCGTGCCTGCGTGGGTTTTCTCCGGGTACTCCGGTTTCCTCCCACGTTCCAAAAACATGCATGTCAGGCTGATTGAACACCCTAAATTGTCCCCAAGTGAGTGTGAGCGCGGATGGTTGTTCGTCTTCTGTGTGCCCTGCGATTGGCTGGTGACCAGTTCAGGGTGTCCCCCGCCGACTGCCCAAAGACAGCTGGGATAGGCTCCAGCACCCCCCGCGACCCTTGTGATGATAAAGCGGATCAGAAATCGCGGATCGATGGATGGATGGAAGAACTGAATCGAATCGAAGACACATTTATGAATTAGGAAGCAACTTGAAGATCGCAGAAATACTCGTGTCCGGATGTTGTCGCTACACCCGTTACGGTAATATTCCCCTTTTTCAATGTCTCATCTCCCAAGTGCGTTTGGAAAGCGGCAATTTTGCTTTATCCGTGGATAAGAAATGTCTGAGGAATTCGGCCTCCCATCAGTTGGTCGCATTTGGCTCCTGTCTTTCCTATGGGACGACTTTGAGAGGTAGGCCTTGAGCCCCAACCTGCCTTGACATGTTGCACACACACACACACACGCACACACGCACACGCACTCCTGGGCTCATTATTACCACATTTTATGAGCAATCGCTCACTCACTCACTTAGACAGGAAGACAGGCAGAGGCTGTGCCGGGTTGTCAGTCTGCCACCTAAATGCTATTGGCTGCCCCCCCCCCCACTTTCCACACACACACACACAGACACTTACACACACTTTATCATTATCAGCTCCAAAAGGGCAGGACAAGGCAGCACAAAGGGGACAAAGTCAACTGTCTTGCCGGTCTGTTGGATCAATCGTGCTGCCGGATTTACTTGGCTCTCTTGTCCCTGCACACAAATGCCATATACAGTGGTACCTCTACTTCATATGAAACGAAAAGTTACGAAATGCCTCAATAGGAAAATATTGCCTCTTGTTACGAAAGAAATTTCAAGATACGAAAGGTAAAAATAGAGGACAGTCTGGTCCGAGTTTCCTGAACGCAACATACTTATAGCTGCTCTGCCGTTGGCTATTATCGAGCATCATCCTGGCATCCCATTGGCTAAGAGGGACCGCTACCGTATGTGTGTTGATAGATAAATAGATGTTTCTAGACAGCATCATCATCATTCACCCCTCGAGCCACGAGGTGTTCTGATAGTTGTACGTAAATGTGAATAACCCAGAAAAAGTGTTCACCAATCGGGCAATCGCTCAGTACGCTGACGTTTGCCTTGGACGTTTTCAAAGGATTGTTGAAAGCCGACAAAAGCAAACGTTCTTGGATCAGTTCTTGACAAAACGCCAGGCAAAAACCACTTCTGAGAAAGAACACGGACTTCTAAAGAGGACTAAATGATGATGACGCAGTTAAAAGTTAAACGACCATCACTTTTATTCTTTATTCTTTGTTTTTTACATATTGCACAACTCTCATTTATTGTGCAATCTACTTGTAACATGTATTTGTTACATATTTTGATGCATTTGTATGCTTCAGAAAACATTTATGTCTGAATTTTTGGGCAGGCTTGGAACGGATTAGGGCATTTACATGGAAAACTCGTCTCAACTTACAAACTTTTCTAGTTAAGAAATTTCTTCCAGAAACATTTAATCTCAGTATTTTTTATTTGATTTTTTGCCGACTTTGATCTCAAGTTGGGAAATGTGCCGAAGTTCAAGACGGTTCTTGGCATGTGTACACCGCTTTAAATGTTGAACAGGAGGGGTGTTCATCTCGCCAGTAAAAGACGATGTACACATGGGGTGCGATACAATTCAAGGACGGTATTATTTTTTTTAAAGTGGAATGCTTACATTCAGTGCGATTACGGTTTTAGTTCCTCGTTCACAGTAGACGATCATCGGAATTCATTTGTGTTCCGATTTTCAGCTCCAAAGCAGTTTTCATGACACCTCCCTCGAATAGGTTTGCCATTGGCGATTGCCACCCAAGACGGCTAGCAGAAGAACTCTTTAACACACCCCACACCACAAGATAATCAATTAGGATAATCACACACAGACCTCCGTGTTGTTCATTTCCGCCAGCCACACTTCCAAAAGGCAAAATAAGTGTCGCTAATGTCACGCTAGTACGCCGGTAATCGGGTGGGACTGACATGGCAGTGCCTCTCGATTGGATCTGCGTCGTGCCTTTTCGTGACAAATCTTGCCGGGCTCTGAGATTTATCTACCCCACCCCAACCCCGCTGAGTGTGTGCGTCCCTTTTTATCCCGCCACTGATGGAATGACAGCAATGCATAATTTAGCGGGACGCCGCCAACGTGCAGCGCTGCCACTCCAGGCACTGATTTCCTTCAGGAGACCTCACTGAATCCTACTTTCCTGCCACACTTTCATCATCATCATCATCATCATTGGTATACTCCAGATGCCTACTTTCCTGCCACACTTTCATCATCATCATCATTGGTATACTCCAGATGTAAGTAATTGAAACCTTGTTGTCTTCTCTTCTGCCATTTCCACATTGACCACAAACTAGGATTAACCTCTCGCCATTGTTTCTGCCCGTTGAACAGGATTAGTAAATCAATGTGTCAGGTAGGCTGCAGTCAAGAGACAATGACCCACTTCTGACACCACCACTCCTCCTCCTCTTCCTCCTCCTGTCTCCCTTCTGGCTCACTGCAGCTTTTAATTAAAAAGACTTTGCTTAGCCGGCGCGATGCGCTCCCCGGAGGACACCTCACAGCTTTGTTTTTTTTGTTTGTTTGTTTGTTTTTTTGCTTTTTTAAAAAAAAAAAAATAGTTTCTCTTGATTCCGCACCGGCTCGCATCATGTGGTTGGCTTTTTCGTACGGAGGTGGTCTCTGCGTGCGAAACCCCCTTTTGTTTGTCTCAAGGTGATTCATTCATCATGTGAGCGGCGGAAGCCCCCGCAAGGGTTGTCAGCCCCCCGCCCTTGACTCTCTACTTCATCCTTGTCGGAGGGTTGACTGCCCCCACCCCATCTAAAAAAATTTTTTTTTGCATAATTGCTCCTGTCGGGCCGCACGTTGTACTCGTGCTTAGCACGCACGCCTCACAGTTCCGAGGTTCTGGGTTCGAATCCGGGCTTGCACGTCCTCCGCCTTCCTCCCACATTCCAAAACATACGCGTCAGGTTAATTGAAAGGCCTCAATTGTCTGGAGGCGCCAAGGTGAATATGAATTCTCTCGTGGATGCCCCCCACCAGGCAGAACGCTCACACTTGCATAACACACCCTGATAAGACGCAGGCGGCATGCAGGTCACACTCTTCTAGGAACTCACGGCGG